AGAGTGTGGTGCTGACAACACCAAGGCCACGGGTTAAGATCCTCTTACCGGTCCCTGGTCAACTTTAAAAAAAAAAAAAAAAGTGTGCGTGCAGGGGGAGATTCTTCTAGAAGTAAAAGTGACTTAAAACATAAACAAGGGCCGGCCCGTGGCTCACTTGGGAGAGTGTGGTGCTGACAACACCAAGGCCACGGGTTAAGATCCTCTTACCGGTCACTGGTCAACTTTAAAAAAAAAAAAAAAAGAACACAACCAAATGCAACGTGTGGACCTTGACTGGATATTAGTTTTTAAAAACTCCAGCTATAAAAGATGTGTGACATTTGGGAAAATGTGAATATGAACTCGACATTAGATGATACAAAGGAGTTATTATTCATTCTCTTAGGTGTGATGATGAAACTGTGGTTATGCAGGAGTCTGTACTTATTTTTAGGAGACTTAGCTAAAGTATTTAGGGATAAAGTATGATGCTGGTTGCAACTTACTTTCAAATGGCTTATCCAGAAAAAAACAACCACAGAAAGATAAAGCAAATGTGGCAACAGGTGAAGAATTGCTAGATCTAGCCAGAGAGTAGACAGGTGTTCAAAGTTTTCATCTTTTCTATGTTTGACATTTTTTAAGATAAAAAATGGGTTGGGGTGGGGCAAGGTGATGGAAGGAGAGGCTGTGCCAACATGAGCATGTTTGCACAGAGCACACAGGGTAGCCAGTTCACCACGAGAGAAAATACCCAGGACTCTTCTGTGAGATTACTTTGAAAAAAGTAAAAAAGCCGCAGGAAAAAAGTTATCACTTTTCAATGCCAGTAGTGTTTTTGTAAAAATACTGACACATTTCTCCCAGCTGGCTAGTCCCCATGTCTGTAACATGAAAATAGGCAGGAAGATCTATCCAAGCTCTCAAAATGCTTGTTTTGTTAAAAACCAATTCTGTCTACACTTCGGCCCAGAACCCTGACTGCATATGGTGAAGGAGGGTGAAGTTTGCTTTGCACTCACATGTCCCAAATGCCAACACACACACACAGGCCAATACTGACCTTTGGCTGACAGCTGGGCAACTACCCTGCACTGGAACACTTTGCTGAGCTCCAAGACTGCTCAGCTCTGTTCTGCTGCAACTCTACTCTGAGCAACTTCATTAAGTCCCAGACTCCAGACAAAGCCACCAAAATGAGAAACTGTTCAGCAGGCAAATCATGACAAAGTGCCCTCTTTTAAAGTGTCTTTTTCTATGAAGATACCCAGTAGATTTTAGTGACATCCCAGAAAACCCAGAGTGGCAAGTACCTTTACCAGCTTGCCTAAGTTTGTTCAGCTTTCCCTGTAAACAGAGGGTACTTTAGCCGGATCCTCCAGAAAGCCTACCAACTTAACAAGGTGATGCTGACATTGGGACATGCCTGGAGATGGTGGCTTTAAGTATAGGTTACACGTATGACCTGGCATACACACCCTCAACTGCCCAGACTGAGATGGTCTGTACACCCCCACACAGTAAAGCAAGAAGTCTATCAAACTACCAGAATGAGAAATCCTTAGAACCAAAATCCTCCCCGGAGACATTAATACATGTGAGAAATCTTCCTCCAGGCCAAAACTCGAGGTAAAAAACACAGCAACTTATCAGTGGAGAAAAAAGCGATTCTCTAGGTAGAAAAAGTAATGTAAAGACAGTGGTCTGAGGATTCACTGAAACCAGGAATATGGAGTGAGAAAAATGACCTGACAGCTTGTCTGACAGAGAAGTGGGTCCATCCTATAGAACAGAGCTGGTGCAGCAGGAAAAGCGAACAGTACTTGCCGTCAGAACTGGGGACGCATCCAAGAAGAGAGGCACTGAGCTCACCACCTAGGGAGATGTAAGTACCTGGAACAGACAAGAATGTGACCTCAAAGAGGATACGGACTGCTAGCTTAAACTGCTCAGAAGAGACTGACTGGTATTTAAAATAAACCTGAAGAAGAAAATGATGGAATTGATGAGGGATGGAGCAGCCTCATCTTAACAAACCAAGACCTCCCTCTCTCAAGGGCTGCAAGGTACTCACCGCTGGAGCCCTTCCCTGCCAGATTCCCCTCCCAACAGCTCCGCCAGACTGACAAGCACACTCTGTGACTAGACAGACTAAAATGCTAGGACAAAGCCAAATAGTGTGCAAATGTACTTCCATGAGACCCCTCTACCCACTTTCCTTTTCCCCAGCAAGGTCCATTCCAAAGTGTAAAGCAGCCCCTCAGAGGTTTCCTCCTCTTCCCAGCAGTTCAAAAAGGAAAAGCCTCACAGTTTTATTTCAACAGGATCAAGGAATCTGAGAGATAAGAAAGGCACTTCCCTGACTGGGTCCCAGTCAGTGGGATTCTTCTGGTCTAGCTCCCAAGTCCTGTCACCTTGGCCTGCTCTGTCTGCTTCAAGGTAGAGGGATGAGGCTCTCACAGAAATCTCCATTTCTCTGTCCAGGGCAGACACAGCTCTAGCCTTTCCAAATCTTCTTCCCCTCACTCCTACCCTATCATCCCAGGACCTACCAGCCATTTCCACAAGCTCCTTACAGGTCAAGTGCTACACACAGTAAAAGTCTACTTTCTAGTCCAGTCTTTGCACATAGAAAGTATCAACCACAGTGGGATTTGTGCATGTGCTCACACTGAATGAAGATTAAGTAATGAAGTGTGTCCCTGAAGACTTGCAGGGCCAGCATCGCCACTCTGAACACATTCAACCCAGCACACTTCTCAGCTGCAAACAACTCTGCCCTGTCATAATCACATTTCTCTCTGAATCACGTGTTAAACCCTAAGGCATAAGCTGGGCCATCAGCATCAATCAAACCCACATGAGAACAGCCAGAGCTAGGTTAAGAAATCTCAGATTAGGAGACAAATAAAAGTTAAACCTACAGTCCCTTTAGAGAGAAAGGAAGGCCGGCTGGAGAAGAGAGGAGTAGGAGTAAAGACCCACTGACAATGTCTTGAAAACACACATACAGTACACGCACCGAAGGCAGCAGCTGACTTTGGCTAAGTTGTCACAAATCATTACTGTGGGAACAAGTGAGTATTTGTTCAGTGGAGAAAACAGCAAGGCAAATAGGGACTAAAAAGGAAAGAAAAAGTGACAAGCATATACAGTTGGGCACTTGTTGCAAGACTTATCAAGGCCAGGCAACCAAAAGAAAGTGGTGCCCAAGATCAGAGCCTCTCCAGGGTTACCTAATGGTGAGGAAAATTCACCCAAAGAAACCCCATGTTATAAACAAACAATCCACTCCAGCAGCTGGATTTTACAAGACATATGCACACAACTGCAGGATCCCTCCCTGTACAGAGGAGCAGGCTTTCTGCAGGAACTCACCACTCTATCCAGGTGAGCATAGTAGGGAAGTACTGAGAACAAGTCATTTTTTTTTTCCTTTTTGTCTTTTTTCATGACCGGCAACGGATCGCAACCCTCAGTGTCGCGCTCGGACCGGGACCGGCAACGGGATTGCAACCCTCGGTGTTGCACCCGCACCTCGCTCCGCCAGTGAGCGGCCGGTCTGTATGTGGGATCCGAACCCTCTGTCGCGCTCGGACTGGGACCGGCAACGGGATTGCAACCCTCGGTGTTGCACCCGCACCTCGCTCCGCCAGTGAGCGGCCGGTCTGTATGTGGGATCCGAACCCTCCGCAGGAGCGCCGCCACGCTCTCAAGCGGCGTACTGTAGCAGTGCACCACCGGGCCGGCCCAGAACAAGTCATTTTTAGAATTTATGCCTCTACACAAATATTTATAACCTTTACTTCCCCCAAAACACAATCACAGGCAGGGGCACTCCTAGGCCTACAGGCCAAACGTAGCTTCTCATGACTTTAATAAGGGAGAGGATGTGCACTAACAACAGAACCCACGCCCCCACCAACCCCCCAGCACACATGACAAAAGGATGGAACTTCTAGTTTTCCAGAAAGGCCATATGGGGCTTCCTTCTTCATTACGAAAGTCCTAAAGAAGGGTCCCTGGTGACCTAGCACAGCGACTCTGAGACCTCCCCAGACCTTCTGAGTTTCCTTCTCCATTAAGTCACTAGGTTGCCCAAGTTTCAAGGAAAAAAAGAAAATTTAAAATATGAATAATAAGGGCCGGCCCGCGGCTCACTTGGGAGAGCGTGGTGCTGACAACACCAAGTCAAGGGTTAAGATCCCCTTACCGGTCATCTTTTAAGAAAAAAAAAAAAAAGAATAAAAGTGCGTTGGGAAAAGGAACAGCCAAGGAAAACTTGAGATGCGACAATGAGGAAAGCTTGGGACAGAGATGGAACAGGTGGGTCTGTTCAGAAACACAGAAAAGAGGAAGGAGGAGACCTGAAGGAGAAGGTAGTCTGGGTGGGTCTTGCCCTGACCAAAGGGAAAATAAAGCCGAGGGAGAAGGACCGCGGGGTGGAAGGTGGGAGTAGTTCTGGGAAAGGGAATGCACGGCCCTAAAACTCCAGGTATTGGGAGGGATGCAAGGAAGCAGGATTTAAATGGGAACGGAGATTGTATATCCTTGAAGAGGTGGAGAAAAAAGCTCAGCATCAGACTGGGGATTTCGGGACGTAAATTGAAATCCCAACAGGGAGGCTAAGAAGAGCCCTTGAGAGGGAGCAGAGAGGAGTGCCACCCTCGGGGGTCATGGCTACAGGCTGAAAGTGGGGAAACCTTAACTCGCGATGACAAGGTGGGTGGGGGGCAGTTCTAGGCCGGCATCTCAGAGGAGACACGTGTAAGGTGGAAAAGGGTAGAGTCACTCCTGGCTAGAGGCTTCATCCACAAGGCGAGGGGCTAAAGACCCTGGAGTCAGGGCTCCTCCTAGTCTGGGAATGCCCGGACTGGGCTCGCGAGGTCGGAAGGCACCTCTGCCAAAGAGCCCGGGTCCCCAGGCTTGAACTCTTCGGGCAGGAGGGTCCCCGAGGCGCAGCGGGGCCCAGGGTTCGCAGCTCAGGGTCTCAGGAGGGGCGGGGGTCCCGGACTCACGCATCAATGTGCTGAAGGCCACGACGCCGAGCAGCCCCTGCAGGAAGATGCCGAAACTGTGCATGAGCGCACCGCTCTCACAGCGGCCCTCCCCGGACACGACAGTGGAAGGCGGCGCGCCCGGCAGTCCGCGGCTCGCGTTCCCGGCGGGGCCCTGCATGGCGGGCCTGGCGAAAGGGGCCCGGGGCACCACGGCCCGCCCGCCCGGCCTCGCTGCCTGCACGGGCCGCCCAGCCGAGCCGGGAGCCAGGTGCCGAGCCAAGAGCCGGTACCTCCGCCCGGCGGTCGACTCGGCGCCGCGCGTAACCCGACGTCTGAGATCTCAGCGCCTGATTGGCCCGGCCCGGCGTAGGGGCGGGCCTGGGCGCTTCTGCTCTCTGCTAGGGACGGGACTCCGACCCGGGAGAGGGGCGGGGCCGTGGGTCCTCTTCGGCAGGTAGCCAGACCAGGTGAGCCGGGCTGCGTAGACGGGAGATGAGAGCCCGAGGACCCTGAGGCAGGAGTAGAGACAGTCCGCGACTAAATTCTTACTCCCTCCAAGATATCCCTTATACCCTAGAGAATTTATTAAAAATATTCCTGGATTTCATCCTTAGGGTTTCCGATTCAGTAGTTCTGGGAATGGAGCCCAATCATCTGCAATCTGGATTATTCCGGATTACTGTATTCTGAAGCAGCCTGGATTATTTTGAAGCAGGTGACTGAGGAAAACAATTTTAAGACTGTTCAGAGGCATCTTGCTTCCAACCCAGACGTTCAGCGTCCTTCTACTTCCCTGGCCAAAGGCTTATCCTAGATTCATTAATCAAGGCCCAAACAGATTTTTTCCCCATAAACATAATTTGAATGGTCACTTCAATCCAATCACTTTCATTTATAAATATGCCAGGTTTATACTGAAAACTTGATGTACACAAATACCTACCTACCTTGCTCACTTAGGGGATACAACATTTTGAACATGACTCAAACGGAAGCCAAATGGGGCCAGCCCGGCTCACTTGGGAGAGTGTGGTGCTGATAACACCAATGCCAAGGGTTCGGATCCCTATACAGGGATGGCCGATTAGCTCACTTGGGGGAGCGTGGGGCTGACAACACCAAGTCAAGGGTTAAGATCCTCTTACCAGTCATGTTTTTTTAAAAAAAGAGAGAAAGCCAAATGGTTGGTATTTGCCAGTCTGCAATATCCCCCTACCCACAAAGGAGCGTGGGGCTGACAACACCAAGTCAAGGGTTAAGATCCTCTTACCAGTCATGTTTTTTTTAAAAAAGAGAGAAAGCCAAATGGTTGGTATTTGCCAGTCTGCAATATCCCCCTACCCACAAACACATTTACTCCCATCTAACCCTTTCTGACGCCTTGGAACCTGTTCTCTGCCTCTACTAGGGCCTCTGGGCCCCATTCTCTCACCTACTCTCGCAGCTCACCGTGGCTTCTCTCTAGACACATCTTTTTGGTGCTCTAGAGCCCCTGACCTTCCTGCTACATAATGGCAGTGTACACATATAAGTCCAGCTGACACGGGGGTACATTTGTTGAACAATAAATACTATACCTAGGGAAAATTTTCCCTATAAAATAGCCCCAAGAAATTCCAATTACATAAGAGGGTTAAATGTTATCCAAAAGCTTTCTTGATTAACAGGACTATTAACCTATCCAGAGAACAAAAATGCAATTCTCCAGCCCTTCTCTTACAATACACTTTCACACCTCTGTACCTTTTTTTATATGGCATTCTAGTTGCATGGATGCTTTCTCCTGCTCCATGGGTACCTGATCTCCCTCTCCCTCTGTGTCCCCCACATTACCTTGTGTCAGCTACTCCACTAGGAACTTTTCAGACTGCTGAATTAGATGGCTATACACGTTCCCCTCCCACAGCTAAGTGTGAGCCTCCTGAGGGCAGGAACTGGTTTTTATTCACTCTTTAATCCAACATAGTGCCTGGCACAGAGAACATGCAACAAAATGCTTTTTAATTTAAACAACTTTAATTTATAAAATTAAAAACTCTCCGCAAGTATTGACCATTGGCAAATACAGAAAATCAGGTTAAGAAAATAAATGGATAAGGGAAAATTTAAACTTCATTACCATCTTTAAGTATAAGAGGGATGTTATGAGGATGCTCAACAGTTAACAGTACATGTTCAGAGAGAACCAAACAAGAGGATATGCCTTAAAGCAGAAGAGATTGTGGTTGGGCATAAGGAGATTTTAAATTGCTTGAAAACACAGAAAGCTCAAGGAAAACCACATAGAACTGTAAAATGAAGTTTCTGACAAAGCAATGCTCTGCACATCCAGATGTGGAGGAATCCTTAAGTTCCATAGAGGAACAAGAAGCAGTCTTCAAAGACCAGGGACAGAATCCCCAATGCTAGAACCAAGGTCGCTGTGGGGAAATTCTGCTCTCTTAGCTTTCCTGAACTGAAAAAAAATTTAAAAGTACCTAAATCCAGAGGGGAAAGAATGAGACAGAAACAGAGGGGGAAGAATTCTGGAATTTTATTAAACTAGGAAGGAATTTTCTCATCCATTCAGAAGTGATTCTCAGAGGCCCCACTAGAAAGAGTTTTGAAGAATTTACTCTGCCCAAAATGTCTTCCTTACTGTCAAATCGGCACAAAGGAAGTTAAAGTTAAACACAGCTTAAGACCTGTTTTAATTTTCTCACAACCACGTAAAACTGTCATACCACAAGTTAATATACAATCATATTTACCAAGGGAAAAAAAAACACGCAAAATATTCATCCAAAATAGTTTTTTTTTAAATCCTTTGAAGTTAATACCATCAAATTTGATGGGAGTTATTTTAATAGATATTCTTGCACATATTTCTCCTTAAGTGTACTTTATCTTCAATGAATAACTTTTGAAATTAAGAGGGAAAACAGCAAGCAGGAAGGATACAATGCAATAAGCATTTCATTTGGTTCCAAACAAGCAGTTAAAAAAAAAAAAGGGTGTGTGTGTGTGAAATACATTAAACAAAGTGCATCAGTTCCAAAGAGTTAGTATTAGAAAGAGGCCTAAGGACAGTGCTGGAACCAGCCAGGAGTCCCTCCCTGTCAGGCCTCTGATTGTCTTTAGAGAATATTCAACCAAAAAAAAAAAAAAAAAAGGGGGGGGGGGTGGGAAATACATTAAACAAAGGGCATCAGTTCCAAAGAGTTAGTATTAGAAAGAGGCCTAAGGACAGTGCTGGAACCAGCGAGGAGTCCCTCCCTGTCAGGCCTCTGATTGTCTTTAGAGAATATTCAACCAAAAAAAAAAAAAAAAAAGGAAGAAAGGGAGAGGAAAAGAAATGAGCACTTAAAATCTCAAGGGAAACATTCAAACTACCTTCCTCAGAGACTTGCAAAAGGAGCTATGGGACTACCCAGCTTTAACTTTGCCTAAGCTTTGTAACCTCCTTCAGTCAACGGCTTTGTGACTTGATTAGCCCCATCCATTCAGCACTATTTGTCCACCTCCATTCTGCCAAGCAAGTCATGCCATTAGATTGAATAAACCACGTATGCAGAAACCCTGAGACCTGAGTTTCTGTACATCCTGAGAACAGGCATCCCCATCAGCAATGGTGGCACCATTTCACTTGTCAGCATTCTCCTTTGACTCCAAAAATAATGGTAGACTCTTGCTTCCCTTGGCTCAGGGTCTGCACTTCACTGCTGGTGTTGAAGACTTGTCCTGCAAGGCTGTGGCTTGTTTCTCTTTTAAAACAGTCCTTTGTGATAGGCCATAGCACCAGGTCAGACTCAAGAGTATGTTAAGTCACCAAAGGCATAAGGGGAGAGAGTTTTAGACCTATTTCTCTATCCCCCTCAACCCTCTGCTCCTGGTTTTGCTGGTTCTTGTGAAAATCTCAGAATTCTTAAACACCTTAACCCAAACCAAAACCAAAACCCAAAACAATCTGCAGTGCATTTATTGCCCACCACCTTCTACACCTCACCCCTAAGGCTGCCCTCAGAAGCAAGTCTACCTGGGACAAGTACTGAGAAAAACACTCCAAGTGAGTGGGCTTGGAACCAGATCATTTGGACTACATATTAAACTCTTACATCAAAATTCCAAGTCAAAAGTAGCTTATTTGGATAAATTCAAATTCCCAAAGCATGAACATTCTCACATAAGGGGTGAGAGTCATCAAAATTTACTAGTAAACCATTTCAAGTAAATAAAGTCAAGGAAGAATTATACTTGCAGGAAAGTGACATTTCTTTTTGGTTTTGCAGGAGGCTCTCTGTCCTACAGAGTTTCTGAGCCAGCACCATGACCATCACACACAGTTGCTTACAGTTGACCCAGGACCAAGGAAATTCAAATTTAAAAAGGGGGTGCCTGTACCCCACCAATATTTATACTTCATTTCTGTTAGTGATGCCTTCTCTGTTGTCTTCATAAGGCCAACACATTTCCTACAAACACAGACCACTTTTGCATTTGCACACATGTGCACATACAGAACATCTCCAATACATAGGACCCGAGTTCAAACCCAGGGTATGTTTCCAGCTTCAAGAATAACCTCCTAACAGCTCTCTTCTGTGAGAACCAATCAAACCAATAAATGGTATCTTAAGTAGAACAGTCTTTGGTGATAGGTGCCAAGTACATTTAAGTGCCTGTGACAGTTTTCCTAATGTCCCCATCTAGATTCCCTGAATGTACTGTGTCCCTCAGAAACACTTTTTGGCTTGAGAGAGGGGAACAGTTCTAAGTCCTACCCTACCTAAGGCCTACTAGTGCTTTTAACTATATTCAGGTATCACTTTAGTGACTGAATTGGTACTAGACAGTAAAATGTATTCAAGTTCTCAGGAAGCTATGGTCCAATGCCCTCTCTCTCTCATGGTGAGAATAATTTTACTTCCAGGAGAAGAGATATATAAAGGCCAAGTTCTGAACTGGTTTTCTATGTCTGCCTCTCTATCATAATTCAATAAATATCCATGAGAAGCTCAGCTCTTCCAGGAGTTGGTAAGAACTCTTCCCTGACCTCCTATGTCCATAACATAGATGCTGGGAGCCACCTACAGTGCTAAAGAAAGGCAGATAGGGTAAAAAGCCCACATTAACCGCATTCCCTGCATTAGCCACTTCAACTCTGCTTCAAATGAGAAGGATAAAGGTGGTTTACAAGAA